ATTTAGGAGTTTTTATGGTTAGGGATTTCTCCATTTCCAAAAGCATGATTGCAATGATATCTTTTTGATACTGATTTGCTAAAGATAGTGACACAGTTCCTTGAGGGCAAAGAAAAGGTAGAAATCCTTTCATTACAGAGCACCTGCCAGTTGCAACCACTCTCTCTATTGATATGCTAGGAAAAAAGTCACCTCCTCCAGTAGATAGAATATTTATGAAGCTCTTTTCCATATGGTTGGAAAGAAACATATCCCAAATTAGCTTAATTCAGTGGCTACATTGACTCAATATTTTGGGTAGTCCAACCTCAATCATTATGGAGAACAACAGCATTACATTATTTAAAAGTATGGTGGGATGTTCAGATCCCTTAGAATAGACTCAAGCTCACTTATAGCCTTAGGAAGTGAAAGATTTCAAGTTTTATCACCCAAGACTAATCTGACTAAAATTATTAATGACTATAACTATATAACTATAATTTCCTCTGTAGCTATTTTCACTTTTATATGGTTTTTGAAAATTGCATCACAACAAAAAGTAACGGAGCTGCTGTTGCTGTTATTACCCAGCATTTAATCTGAAAATTCCTTCAAAGCTTCACACGCTCCATTTCACCACTGCAGCTTTTAACCTGGTTACCAACAGGAAAAAAGTACATTCCATTTTCTTGGTATTTGAAAACAAGTTTGCTGCACGATCTTACTGTTCAATGACAATGAAAAAGCTTGTGTCATTAGAGTCTTATAGAAATTGCACATTTTCCCCTTGAAACTGAATTGTGAATCTCAATACTACCCATCCCCAAATGTCACAATCTGTCATAGTTATGTTGAGCTGCCCTATCATTGAAGGGATACGGAATTAAACTTGAGTTTTCTTTTTCACGGAAAATACAGCTTCAAAATTTTTATTAATGACAAATGCCAACCAGAAAGGTAGATGCCAATAAAGATCTAATTTTGCAAAAGGGGGTACATTTCATAAAATGTATTATGCTTCCCAAGAATAAATTTATTGAATTGCTCCCAGCAAACTATGACTTTCTGTCAACTGACTGTTCAAAAGTAGCTGCTTTCCTCCTCCTCTCACTCATGTCTCTGCAACCACCTCTCCCTCTTCTAGTCTGGAGGGATGACTTTGAACTTGGGGGATGAGGATGCAGTTGGTGCTAATTGCAGAGCAAGATTGGGCTAGAAAAAGGTACACTGACAAGCATTGCTTCAATTAGTGACGAGCCAATCTTATGACTATAAACCATGATATTGAATGGTATCATAAAAAAAGTTTTTGTCTTTTCTAAGAAAAATCACACTTACAATTTTCCAAGAAAATTTGACATTAGATGCAGATGGAACTTAGAATTTTTCTAAGAAACATTGAAAGCAATTATGTTTATCAAAACAGTTGAGGCATGAAATTAGAAGATAGTTTCAAGTTTCGGAAGAGAATTAGGCTTCTTTTAACTTTTTTGGCTTTGATTTTCCCCTTTCAAAATTAGACTCGTGATAAGATTAGAATGAAAGAAAGATTTATCATTCTCACTGCTGACTTTTAATAATGTGAGTAGCATTAGAAATAAATGTTTTTAAAAATGAATATTCAGTTATCTTAAATTATGAAACTACACTTGAGGAAAACATCATGTGAATTCACGATTTTCCCCCATTAGGTTTATTTAAAAATAAAACCTAATAGGTATAAAAATATGATAGAGGCTTTTGCTCCCTCTGCTATTATATGAAAGTCTAAATACAAATTAACGCTGGCAAAGTTAGTAAAGACTAACTAGTTCATATATGTGCACATACAAACGAGGTTTACAAACTCAGTGAAACAGTGACTCAAGCAAATAAGTTGTAAGAACAACTAGATAAGGAAAAACTTCAGTAGATAAGGCTATGGATTAGTATCAAATTGATATCAGTTGGATTTCCACCTCTGACACTATTGACAATGTGATCTTAAGCGTTTAACTTCTGATTTTTCTTTTGCAATAAAATACTATCTGTATTATTAGTTATTTTAAGAAATAAATGGGAAAATAAATGCTTAATAAATTCATAGTAAATTCTCAGTGAATCTTAACTATACTTTTTGTTGATTATTATTATTATTATTGTCATTTACAGTGTAAAATCAATTATTTTATTTAAAAATTTATTTATTTAAAAGTGCTTCAAAATCAGATCTGAGCTATAGAATTTTAGTTTTAAATACACTCAAAATATAACAAACTAAACATAATTGATATGGAATATATTGGTGAGATGAAATACTCTATTTTAAGTTTTAAATTTATTATTATTCTTAATATGATTTATATTATTGGACCTACCAAGCAATCTTACCTTGAATGACAGATACAATTGTAAATATAATCTACTCATGTTGGGATGTATGCCTATAAAATTGGCCAACAAAAAATCTCCTAACTTTCATTACTCTATTTCCTCAGACCAATTGTGGAATTGAAAAATGCAGTAATTTATATCCCTATACTTAGCAATGAATATGGCAATGGTATATCCTTAATGATATTCTTTTAAAACAACTAGCCCATCCTGTAAGGTGTGGGATGGGAACTGGTGTGTTACATTTAAAACATAAGCTTTAGAATCAGAAAGATTTCAGATTTAATCTTTAATTAATAATTTACTAGCTGAATAATTTAGTTCAAGTTACTTATCTTTTCAACTACACTTGTAAAATAGGTTATTAACAGTGTGTAGTTCAGAAGATGATTGTAAATATTAAATGAGCCAATGCATGTTAAACATTTAGCACAGTCTGGCATCTTATGAATGTTGAATAAATAGTAATTATTATGTTCATAATTTTACTAATTTCATTGATTACATGGCTTGGTGGTTGTAATACTTTTAATTATTGCTTAGAATATGATTGTGGCCTGGTTGGCGTGGCTCAGTGGTTGAGCATTGACCTATATGAATCAGGAGGAACATGATTTGATTCCCAGTCAAGGCATATGCTTCGGTTGCAGGCTCAGTCCCTAGTGAGGGGAAGGCAGAAGACAGCCAATCAATGATTCTTTCTCATCATTGATGTTTCCATCTTTCTCTCCCTCTCCTTTCCTCTCTGAAATACACTCCCCCCGCCCCACACACACACATACTTATATATATTTTAAAAATATGATTCTGATGGGATCATCAGTTCTATAACGTACTAGAGGCCTGGTGCATGACATTCGTGCACTGGAAATGGGGGTGTCCCTCAGCCTGGCCTGTGCCCTCTTGTAATCCAAGATTTCTCGAGGGATGTCAGACTGCTGATTTAGGCCTGATCCCTGCAGTTGGACATGCTCTCGCAATCCAGGACTGCCTGCCTGCTCAGTGTGCATCATAGTGACCAGTTGTTCGGGCCGTTCCCCCTTAACAGTTTCTCAGGGTTTTGTATATATAGATGCCAAATATAGAAGGGTAATAAATTTGAGTATGAGATTTTGCACCAAAGATCTATCTGTGAAAACAACTTGAGGAGCATGATTTGTTGAGAGAAGTAGGAAATACTATTTTTGTAAATGGATGAAAAAATTTACTGTCTATTGTCATTATTAGTTGACTTTGGGATTTAATCTGTATACCACAAGCAATTAAAAATGCCTTACTTAGTTCTTTAGAGATAAATAATTCTTTATTTTATTTTTAGTATTGTCTATATCAGATAATGGTTTGTGACTACTAGACTTCATTTACATATTTTTAAGATAAGAACTATATATTTTACTTAAAAAATAACTTAAATCCCCCTTGAATTCCTTGATCAATCTGATTATTATAATTTTGAATTATTTGTTTTGTTAAGAAATGAATGCTCTTCAACTTTAGGAAAAGTCAAACTACCTTGTCTTTGGATGAATAAAACATTTTCAGGGAAATTTTGTTAAAATAATATATAGAACATTGACTTATGTAAATTTTAGGATTTAAGTAAGTGCATTACAGTTAATGACAATTTGCCACAATTTCAGCTGGAAAAACAGCAGTTTTAATGGCCACATCTTATATAATAAAAGGTTAATATGCAAATCGACCAAGTGGTAGAAAAACTGGTTGCTATGATGCTCATTGACCCCCAGGGGGCAGAGGCTCTACACAGAAGCTGACCCCTGGGGATCAGTGCACTCCCATAGGGGAGCACTGCTCAGCCAGAAGCCAGGCTCACTGCTGGCGAGTGCAGTGGCAGTGGCGGCAGCCTCTCCCACCTCCATGGCAGGGTAAGGATGTTCGAGTGACAGCTTACGCCAGCCCATGGGGAGCAGGCCTAAGTCATCAGTTGGCCATCCCCCTGAGGTCTCCTGGACTGAGAGAGGGTACAGGCCAGGCTTAGAGACCCCCCCCCCCAAATGCATGAATTTTGTACACTGGGCCTTTAGTTATATATAACACATTAAAGAAATAAACAGAAAGTTGTTTTATATCTGGATAGCTTCCCTCTCTTTCTCTATCCCTCTCCCCCTTTCTCCATCTCTCTCTCTCTCTACCTATCATCAATCTATCAATTAGTCATCTAATGTTTGTCTATTAACTCAGACTGTGAATAATGAGACAGACTCAAAGCAAAGATTGATAGTATTAAATATATATGAAGGAAGAAGGAGTAATAATAATAACAAATAAAAATATATTTATTTGTTATTATTATTACTACTCCTTCTTCCTTCATTTTCACAATGCTGCCCAGATAGATATAGGCATACATTGTGGAGTTTAAAATTCTGAATATGTGTTATCCTTTCAGAAAAATGTGGGAAGTAATGTTCAAATTATTCCCAGCATTTTATTTTATAAAAAACCTCTACTAATACTATATTTTCAGGAGTTGGACTATCCTGTGATATCTATATATCACAAAATTAACCCTTAACTCAAAGGGAAGTCATAAATTTATTATCAGAAGCCATATATGTATTAAGTGCTTTTGCACTCCTGTCATTTACCATGCTTTGTGGCTACTGGAATCTTTTTCTACTTACTGAATGGAGCTTTCAATGCGGGTGATAGTGAGGAAAGCAGCAAGGTTTGCTGTGTAAGATGAGATGACAATCAAAGCAAACAGCCACCAAGCGCCCATCATCATTCTGGTAGCCAGTGTTGTGTATGGGACCTCCCCACCTGTGGAAAGAAGCAAAAAGAATAAGAGAACATCAACAAGTATTAACTGAGAATTCTGAGGTCATACACATTCAATATCAAGTTAATTCTTAAGTAGTGTAAAGTCTTTGCACATAACATCAGCATAGATTTTGGTATTTTGCTTATGTTCATTACTTCACATTTAATTATCTTTTATGAGACTATGTGGGATCCAGTAAAAGAGAAGCATGATAAACATTTAGTATAATGTGTTTAAATGATATTTCTTCCATCTTTTTGTTCAACCCTAGAATTAATTATCCTATTTATATAACCACAGATATACACCAGTTAGGTGATATAAATACTTTATGCTTCTGTTTAATACAACTTTTTCAGATTTCTAGTTTGATAAGTAATATCGAATATTTGTTGTTGTTAAATTCCCTAGGATCATAGGTTACCAATGATCTTGGGGTCACCTATATTAGTATTGGCTTCAGCAGCATCACATATAAGTTGCTCTCCTAGTTTACGAGTTACTATTTATAATCTTGTAGAATCTTCCTCTCCATCTTCTAAATGTTGGAGTGCCTTTGGGATTCCTCTCTAGGTTGCATCTGTTCTCTGTCCACATATCCACCCCAACTAATCTCAAGTCTCCTAATTTTGAATATCATCACAGTATATTTTGATAACACTCAAGTTCCAGTCTATCTAGAAAGATATAGATAAACTAGAGGCCTGGGGCATGAAGTTCGTGCATGGCAAGAGGGGTGTATGTGTCCTTCAGGCCAGCCTGCACCCTCTCCAATATGGGAACCAGGACTGCTGGCTCCCAACTACTAGCCTGCCTGCCATTCTGATCACCTCCTGGCCACTGCCCTGCCAGCCTGAATGCACTTAACTGCTCCCCTGCCAGCCCAATTGATCCTAACTGCCCTCCTCTGCTGGCCTGGTAATCCCTAACTGCCTTCCCCTGCCAGGCTGGTCGCATCCAACTGCCCTCCCCTACCTGGTTCTACCCAACTGCCCTCCTCTGCCAGCCCAGTTAACCCTAACTGCCCTCCCCTGTAGGCCTGATCACCCCCAACTACCCTCCCTTGTAGGCCTGGTCTCTCCCAACTGCCCTCCCTTGCTGAACTGATTGCCCTCAACTTTCCTCCCCTGCTGGCCATCTTGTGGTGACCATCTTGTGTCCACATGGGGACAGCCATTTTGTGTGTTGGAATGACAGTCAATTTGCATATTACTCTTTTATTAGATAGGATGCTTACATTATTTCCACTTGGAATCTAATGGATATTTCAAACATCACATTTAAAACAAAACACTTTATTTTCACTCCTAAATTCAGTCCACACTGTCTCAAGGAATAGCACCACCCTTCACTCTCTTGCTTAGACCAAATATTTTCAAAGTTCCACCCAGTAGCATGTCCAGTCACCTTTACCTTCAAACTACATACAAATCCTACCTCATCTCATCAATTCCATTTCTATCACCTTTTCTTTGACTCTACTGCTAAACCATTGAAATGATTCACTGTTTACATCTTGAGCACTACCATTCCCAATTCTATCACCATGGTGCATATTTAAAAAAAAATGAAAGAAAGAGAGAGAGAGACCAGATTATTATGCGTTCAAAGATCATAATAATCTAGCCACTCAGTGTGTGTGTGTGTGTGTGTATTTTTTTTTTAAATTGAATTTATTGGGGTGACACTGGTTAACAAAATTATAAAGGTTTCAGGTGCACAATTATACAACACATCATCTGTACATTGTATTGTATGCTGACTACCCCATCAAGCCTCCTTCTATACATTTTAAAAATGAGAATATGATCACAATATTCCCCTGATCAAAACTTCCAGTGGATTGCCATCAGTCTTGAAAAAAAAAAAAGCCAAAATCTCTACCAAAGCATACCAGTGCCTACATGACCTAATATAAGGTCAACTTCATTACATTATATCTTATTCCACTATCTTGATAACCTTTTTGCAATTTTTTTTCTATGTTGATTTCTGTCATAGGACCCTTGAACTTAAAATGTTTTATGCCAGGAATTATATTTTTAATATTAAAATGACTTTTCTCTTCAATTTATTGGAATTTCTGCTCAATAATACTCTTCTTTACCCATATTTGCAATCTTGTGTTACACATACTTGCAATTGTGTGTTACCCCTACTTGCAATCTCCTTTTTGTTTATTTATTTTTTATTATTGTCTAAAGTTTTACATATGCCTCCTTTTTCCCTGATTGACCCCTCCCCCCCATCCCCAGCCATTCCCACCCCAGGCAAGCCCTCACCACCCCAGTGTCTGTGCCCATTGGTTATGCTAATATGCATGCATACAAGTCCTTTGGTTGCTCTCTAACCACCCCCCTCCACCCCTCCCCCTTCCCATTTGTCTCTGGATCTATTTTTGTTCATCAGTTTATGTTGACCATTATATTTCACATATGAGTGAGATCATGTGCAGTTTCTCTTTCTCCAACTGACTTATTTCACTTAGCATAATGCTCTCCAGTTCCATCCATGCTGTTGCAAATAATAAAAGTTCCTTCTTTTTTTTTTTATAATGGCTTAGTATTCCATTGTGTCGATGTACCACAGTTTTTTAATCTACTCATCTGCTGATGGGCACTTAGGCTGTTTCCAAATCTTAGCTACTATAAATTGTGCTGTTATGAACATAGGGGTACATATATCCTTTCTGGTTTCTTGGCAATCTTCTTATCTTTAAAAATAATATCTTACCATATTTCATATATTTTTATTTATTTTTCTCCTTCATTATATTGTTTCTGATATAGGAATAGTTTCTGTTCTCTATCAGGTAGGTAAATATTTATTGAATTAATATATGTTTTATATAAAATTAATAATACTTTAAAAAGTAACTAGGCTTATGTTAATACTAAAAATAAATCAAGGACATATAAGACTAGATTTGCCTAGGTCCATCAATATGTGAATGACTTAAATGGATTCAATTAATTATAATATCAGGCAGATTTTAATGCCAATTATTATTTTTCACCCAGTAATATCTAAATTTTCAGTGTAGTTCAAATATATCCTTTGGCTATTTTCCTGATGTAAGATACTCAGAACAGGATAACCTCTGATATCAGATACACATTTTTCAAAAGCAATTGTAATGTATTTCAGATATTTTCCTTTTTAAGGAAAATATTGACCCAACTTTTAAAAGATAAAGCAAAAGAAAATATTTTTAAATCTACATCCTGGATAAAATGATAATTAAAAAAAATAATAAAATATGAACAAAATGATAGCTAAAAATGGAAAGATGTGTATAACAAAAATGGGACAAAAATTAATGGCTGAAAAGGCTAATTGAAGGTTAGTTTCATAAAGTTGAACCTTTAACAGAGTTGATATCAATTATATGAAAGAATAATTGTTGAGCTTTCTTCATCCATGGCATATAATCTGCACTTTGGGTAACTCAAATATTTTTGGAGAATCTAAATAAAATAATATTTTATTTGCTATCTGCACTTACAAATTAAATGCTAAAAGTAATGGGAGTCTTAACTTCCAATTTTTGTAATTCTGGATAATCCTACTGAGAGCAACTAGAAAAATTGAGCATGTAATGCATTTAAGAGCTGAAGAAGCAGTGAAAATTAAGAGACCAATATATCAAAGAAAAAAAATAAATAAACCTCATAAATGTGACCTTATATTTAGAACTACTTTTCCCTGAAGGATAAATGCCAATTTATCATGAAGATATCAAGAGACTGAGAAGCTGAGTAATGCTTTTGAAAGTCTTCAAAGGTTAAGTGGCTATAAAAATTAAGGCCCAGGGCTTGCCAAATGAGGATAGGACTAAGAAAACCAGATAATCTTCATGTGCTTAGAAATCAATAGTTGCAAGTCTATTAAGCCGCTGATCAAAGAAAAGTCACAAGAGAAATAAAATATTTTGAATATTATAATAATAAAAATACTCCATACCAAAACTCCACATTTAAATAGCTGATGGGATACCACTAACTCTGTGTTTAGAGGGAAATTCCTTGCCTAAAATGTGTAAGAAAAGAAGGCTAAAAACCAATGATCTCATCAATTTTAAGTTTAAATTAAGGTCAACCTGAAAAACATAAAAAGCAAGGAAAGAATAAATAAGAAAAGAATAAGCCCTAATCGGTTTGGCTCAGTGGACAGAGCATTGGCCTGCGGACTGAAGGGTCCCAGGTTCCACTCTAGTCAAGGGCATGTACCTTGGTTGCAGGCACATCCTCAGTAGGGGGTGTGCAGGAGGCAGCTGAATGATGTTTCTCTCTCATTGATGTTTCTAACTCTCTCTTCCTCTCCCTTCCTCTCTGTAAAAAATCAATAAGATGTATATTTCTTAAAAAAGAAAATAATAAGTTAAGAACAAAAATCAATAAAATAGACAAAAAGTACAATAGAGAAGGTTAATCTAACAATAGTTTGGTCACTTGAAAAGACCTTGAAAACTATTAATATTGATCACAAAATTAGGTAAAGGCACAAAAAATAAATAATAGGAGGAAAAAGCGTACTTTGTGCAGATGTAATAGACATTGAAAGGATAAAAATAAGAAGTTCTTAGTAAAATTTTATGCCAATTAATTTGAAAATTGAGATGATATGGCCAAATTCCTAGAAAAGTTGCCACAAAAAGAAATAGAAAATTTAAATGATTTATAACTATTAAATATTTTTGAATCCATAATTTAAAATTACCCACCAAAATATTCAAGGCCTTACATGGAATAATATAACATGTTCTGATAAAATTAACTCTAATTTTACATGAGTTTTCTTGAATTAGAAAAAAAGCAAGGCAACTTTCCAAACATTTTATAGAAAAGGCACAACTTAGATAACAAAATTAGACAAGATCAAATCATAGAAAGGAAAATTACAGGCCAATATTTCATGACTATAGATACAAAAGACAACATAAATTAGCAAAGTGAAAATTGCAATAAATAAATAGCATATTGAATTTATTATCTGAAAG